GATGCTATCGTCGTGTTCGTCGATAGACTGACCAAAATAGTCCGCCTTGCAGCTACGACCACCGAGCTCTCCGCAGAAGGAGCAGCTGACCTGTTGGTGCAGAATGTGATAAGGCACCACGGCCTCCCCTCTCAGATAGTGTCCGACAGAGACGTTCGGTTCACTTCCAGGTTTTACCGGTACCTGGCCGAGAGGTGGAAGATCCGGCTCAACATGAGCACTGCGTACCATCCACAGACGGATGGCCAGACCGAAGTCATGAATCGGGTTCTGGAGGATTACTTACGCAGTTATACGCGTTCTGACCATGACGCGTGGGATGAACTGTTAGCCATGGCCGAGTTTGCAATGAACAACTCGAAAAGCAGTTCCACCCAAGAAACCCCGTTCTATCTGAATTACGGGAGGCACCCAAAGAGTCCCTTAGCTCTTGGTGTGCAAATTCGGAAGCCATTAAAGGGCTATGACAATCCGAATGCCCGCGGCTTGGCAGTGGCCATTGAAAGGGCGCAGCAGCCTTATTTGAGGCAGTCTGGTACACACCTCGTGGAGGGATTACCAGCAGTGACACGATTTGATCACCGTGTCCAATCAGCGCTGAAAGAGGCCAGGGCGTGCTTAGAGAAAGCACGAGATAGGCAGTCAAAGCATGCTGACCGCCATCGAAGAGAGGTGTCGTTTAGTAAAGGAGATGACGTCCTCCTTTCGACACAACATATTACTCTCAAACACCCTGGAACTCGAAAACTATTACCGAGGTGGATTGGGCCCTTCACCATCCTCGACCGGATAGGTTCTGTCGCATATCGACTAGAACTCCCGGAAAGCATGCATAGGATACATCCGGTATTTCATGTATCGAAGATTAAGCCTTATAAGGCAAGTGGCAGAGTACAGCCACCCCCAGTACCTATCGAGATCGAAGGTGAACTGGAGTATGAAGTTGAACGTATCCTTGACAAAAGGATTAAAAGCGTGGGAGACGCAAAAACTATGTTGAGTACCTTGTCAAATGGCTGGGATATGGACATGAGCATAACAGCTGGGAATCAGCAAAGTCAGTTGCAAATGCACAGGAATTGGTTCAAGCATTTGAAAATGGCAGAACACCTGTGATGCGAATGCAAACTGCATGAAGTACGGGATGTACATTCTGAAACATGCTCATGTGTGCTTATGCTTTTGACAGGTTCTCTTGCGCTGGGCCCAGAAAAACACTGTGTATACTGCCCCCCGTGCAAGGTCGCAGTTTGGACACATGAACGCCATGTCCGTTGCGATCCTCAACGGGGAGAGGTTGGAGACCGCCGACCCCTACGTGCCATTTCCCCGTGTGCCTGAGCGTGCACGCGGACGTGGGCGACGGCGGGGTGCCGCACCGGGCCGATCTGTACCGGCGTGGGCTTCTGGTGGTACTCGGCATCGTGGTCACCGATGAAAGGCCGGGAGGTCAAACATTTCCAGCCACTTGGCTGAGGAAGAGTTTTAATGAGGGTTGTGAAGGCCGGGACGGTCATGTAAAACAACCACTCTTTCTCTTCATCAAAAACTGTTTTGTGTGTTGTGTTTTGTTAACTGGGCATGTGGCAAATCGCACAGCCAGTTCCACCAATATACATACAATGTTTCTGCTCCCGTATTCACTTATACTGGGACGAGGACGCCCCTCTCCCTGAGGGGGACGAATGTTACGCGCACCAGCCTGATGTGGGAGACGTCCTACTAATGGCCCTTGGTGTGGGGGACGCCCTGCCCAAGGCACGTACTATTCCTCACCCACTGTAACCTTTATCCATATTAGGATGCGGGAGTAGGAGGGGTGGTCCCGCCTAGGTGCCCTGTAAGGACCTAGGTGCCCGGCGAGGCGGGTCCGCGGCTCAAAGAGGGCAGGAACCCCACACCCACATCCTATTCGTAACAATTCCCACCAAACAACCACACTTCCTATAGTCAGCAACCACTTTATGCCCCACAGGGCATATTCCCATCAAACAACCATGTGGCGCCTCTACACGCCCCTCCTAGATGGAGTGGTTTTTTGTTGGTTTGCGGGCGATGCGCCCATCGAGGCGCCCGATGGGGCCATGGGGCCCCCTCCGCCGGATGGCCGGCGGGCTTTGCAGGGCGCTCGTCTCTTCGGATGCGTAGTATAGGCCCAGGCCTATGGAATGGCTGGGCGCGGGGCGGCCGTACGTGCAATGGGTGTGCGCGGCGCCTTGCGGCCTGCGGGTGCAGCCGCTGGGAGGCGAGTGGGCACGAATGCAATTATTGGTTATCGTGCGGGGTCGGTCGCATGACCCTTGCACGCAGCAGTACACAATCGACAAAACAACGTATCGAATGTACCATATCAATAGTATCTCATCCCCGAGTACGGTAGGGGCCCAACCTTAAGTACTACAGATCATGTAAGCTATAACTCCTCTACCGCTAACCCGTTTGGGATGATTCAAAGACCTATGGAAAGCTAACAGCCTCCTCTATCCAATCTAGGTATAATCTCATGTACATTGTCACTTCCCAGTATATAACTTGAGTAAACCGGCTACCTCCTAGTAGTTTACACAACATTGGATCCGTCTCGCCACGATCCACGGCAGACCGTCAGGCGGGCAGCCCCAAAGCAAACGCACGTGTCCAGTGGCAACCTGGGTGTTCCTCAGTACTCCAAGGCGTTTTCAGGCATGTTTGACTCATGCGTCTCCGTGTGATGCGCAACCAAGTATTGACGTTGTGCTCAACATCTTTATAGTACCTTAGTGAACTCTTTGGCCGTATGATGCAGTTGCCATCATCTATCTTTGCCGTCAAAGTCATCTCCATGCATTCTGGGTGCCTTGAGCTCATAATTTGATGATGATCAGTGTGGCAAAGGTGCTGAGGATGTCGATACCCCCTCTGCACCATATCTAGACCTCACGGTTCGCCAGCTGAGTGAATATCATTATTTTACTAACTTGTTGATGAGCCCCATTAATTGGCGACCCGAACATGCATTGAATCCGGTGGTTGCGGTCCGGTCCGGCAGCCGGCAGGACGGAAGTGACAGCCCGCTGCATCGCCCGCAGTACAGCTGCTGGTCTTTGCTCCATGACTTCCCCAGGCAGCCGTCCTCGCCGCGGGCCACGAGAGGCACGCCCCTGGCCCGCCCCGTCGCGCGTTTCCGGAACCCTTCTCCCCCCGTCGGCTGCCGTACCGCAGGCTAGTCGCCGCAGATTCGAGCATCCCAGACCGCCGCCTGGTCGGTCGCCCATGGGCCGACCGACGCGGTGGGAGGGGATCGGCGCGTAGGGCCGCACTGGCCAGGCGCGCGGTATCCGAGCGCGGGCATCGATCGGCACAAGGTGCGGAGGGAGCAGGCAGTGCATTGCTACACATGGGGGGGAGGGCTGTGCCTTAGCCGTCGTGGTGTCTGACGCGCCAATTCGACGGGCCGAGCAGTCTGTCTGTGCTCCGCGCGGAGGCGCGGAATGCAGCGCTGCTCGCGGGTTCACGTCTGGCGGGTTCGGGGTCGAGCGGGATGTCTGCTGGTCGGTGCGGAGGGTCGGCGAAGTCTCGTGTAAGGTTCGTGTCGATGCCGGGCGGGGCGCGGGAAGCAAGTCGGGGAGGGAAGGGGGGTCGCGGACCTGGCGAAGACAGCCCTTGAAACTTGCAGGCCACGGTGAGCGCAAATACGTCCAGCCTGCTCTTGTGCAGTGTCCGGCGATCACAGTTCCGAACACTGGCTATGGTGATGCCAGTTCTTGTTTTTGAATGTCTGGGCTTTCCAGCTGCCTTCACAAGATAGGGCAGCACCCTGCACATCCGAAACTTTTAGCATTTTGGAGTCACCAAAGAATCCACACATAGTGCTTGCTCCATCATTGACTCCACCACCCACCTGCTTTAGTGGAGAGAACAGGCAGCGCCAATATACTTGAGGGGCCAGGCACAATCGGAGAAAAACAATTGCTGTGGCCAGGGTTTCAGTGGCATGCCCATCCTGTGGCCATTTAGTGCCACCTGGGCTAAATTTCTAGCCAACAGGTCTGCAGCTGTGGGAGGATGCCCACTCTTCATGAACTTGCACAAATGTGGATAATGGCCTTCCTGAATAATGAAAACTGAATAATGGCCTTCCTGTGCATGAGCCCTGCTGTGGAGCTGGAAGTGTTCATTGGCACTTATTTTCACAGTGCTAGGCTAGCAATGTGTCAGTGGTACTTTTGAAGGAATTGTGCAGCAGGTGTCCATATGGCCAGGATGAAATATTACTGGGGTGCAATCCCTGTACAGGAGCAGATTGGGGGGGGTATCATAAGGGAGCCATCAATTTGACCCTGTTGGCCAATGAAGCGCCCCACAAAGAAAGTGAAATTTCTTGACAGCCCATGTGGGCACATACAAGCCTCCAGTGGTAATATCCTGACTATGGCCAGCACGTGGGTAGTGGTATTGTACCTCTTTAGCATCTGAATTCGCACCAATGGCCAAACGTTCATGTTGGTAGTTGGTCACAGTGAATGGTCACAGGTTCGCCGTCGGTGAATGGTCACTGTTTTTGTGGTGCATCGGACTGCATCGGACAACTGCAGCTCAGAATAAAGTGGGCATCGTCCATGCCGTAACTGTCCCTCATATGCTTTGTATGTTGGCTTGAATTGAAGCAGTGAAGGGATGAATTTGGGTCCACCATTGTCCAAACTTGCTTCTTGTGCCTCACAGACCTGAGGGTTTGCGATGCAAATCAATGCGGCACAGGCCCCGCAGTGGTTGCTTTTCCTGATCATCTGCCTGCTTGCTGCAATAGCGTGTGTGGAAGGGTGTCAGGTATGGGGCTGCAGGTCGACCAGTTTCGCAGAGGACACGTGCGATCCATAATTCCCTCCCACTGTGCCCATCTGAAGTATTGCCTTTAGCATGGTGCATGATAGCATGAATTCATCTATAAGTACATGGATGCATGCAGCAGAGAAATGAACAAACGAACACTCTTGTATGTGGTGTGCATCAAGAGCTATGAGTATGTTCTTGCCTCTTCACTTTGCTTGATATGGAGTTTTTGTCTGTTTGGTTTGGATGAGTTGACGCATTTTGTCAGGTAAGTTGTTTGTGGGGGTGTGTGGGGTGTGTGTGGTGGTGGTGGAAGGGGAAGGGGGAGAGTTTGAGATCAGGGAATGATTAAAGCAGTGCTGTCTTTTCACAGAAGTTGTTTCCTTTCGTTGCCATTGTCCAGGCAGACGATGTTTGGTCATGGCATAGCAGATGTATTAGGTTCGAAGCATGGCATTGCTGCCCTTCAGACAGTGCCTTGGAGCGCAAGAAAGGCACAGCTGTGGTGTTGACAGTCTTTTGCTGCTTTGTTCCAGGATAAGGAGGCAGATATTGGCTGTAGGGCTGGGGCCAATCGCCACCTACTTGTCCGCACTGAGGGCAACATAACACTGTCAGAGGCTGAAGATGCTCTGAGAGGCTATGGTGTCAACAGTTTCGGCCCCATTGTGTACATGGCAAGGACCCCAACCTGCCCTGTGGCAGAGCTTCCAGCCAGTGCCGCTGGCCAGCTGTTCACTTTCTGCAAAGCGGATGGCGACAAGAGGGCCTGTCAGCCTGAAGGCAAGAATGGTATCACGACACCACTGTTTCAATTCACATGCATAAATCACACCTGCATCGAAACTTTGAATATTGCCGTGTCAGCTTGTGTGCTGAACAAGACCTTTAACGTGCCATTAGTGAGCACTGCCAACTCAGACTGCCAGTTCAGTGAGATGGTGGCTCCGATGAGTGACGGCTCGACGCCATTCACACCAGAGTTCCTGCAGCCTGTTGGCAACTCCAGGAGCTTGATCGACTGCATTCTGGGGGTGCCCACGGGGACCAGGATCTTCAACACGCTATCATGCACTGATGGCTTTTTTCGGATGGCGACGGTCGTGCCACTTGGGGGCAAAGAATTTGTGCCCCAGGGTGTGCCATTTCGATGTGTCTGGGATGGGCGCTGCCGTGAGCATGAGGGGTGCTGTGAAGGGGATGCCCTCTTTGAGGGGACGCTTGTTTGCTATCTTGAGCAACATGGGGGCGTTGTGCTCACTGGTTCCTCAGGAATTCGGAGACTACATTGGGGCCTGCCATTGTTGGCTGGTTTCCTTGGCAGCCTGCTTGACTAGTGATCATGCAGTCAGACACACTTCTTTCAAATAGCCAACGAAGAATGCACAACTGTCACTGTGCTTTCAGAGTAGCTGTGTAGCACTATGTTGAGGGTCTGGAAGGATTGAACATTATATGCATTTCTAGTATGTGCCTGACACTGCATAGTGACAACTATTGCAGGGGTGTATGTTGGTGCCGTGGTGTAATAGTCGGAGTCTGAGCAGATGGTTTTGAAACAGAGTGAAAGTAGGGTTCTGGACTTTGCAATGCAGATTCTCAGATGACCTCCGTGGAGATTTAGGTGTTGTGCAGCCCAAAGGCTGGAAAGGTGTGTTTAGGTGCCCAACACTGAATGAGGTGGACGGCATGAATCTGTTACAAAGCAGTGCTCTCGCTGGTATAGGAATGACGTAGTTGAACATTTTGCTTTTGGGCATTTTGTGGCCTTTAGAATTGAGTATTTTCTCAAGTTGCACTGGGTGAACGAAGATGAAACAAGTCGACATGATAGAGTCTAGCAATTCAACACGATGGGCTCTGGGTGGGCCTTGCATGGCAAGTCAACACCCAGTGAGCCATGCTTTGTTGTTGGCTTTGCGCTCTCATTCTTTTCCTACTGCGCACTTCCAATGATGCCATGCAGTCAGTTGTCTTTGGGCGTTTCTGGGTGGACCAGTATCGAGTGTTTGACTGATGCCCTTGAAACAGTACATGTGCATCGTTGGTAAGAAAGAACCCCCAAACGGGACAATAATTGTTCGATTTGGCCCCCTTTTAAATTGTCAACAATATTCAAGTGCACTTGTTGTTTGAAACCACTTGCCGAGTGGACTTCGATGCTCATCAATTGAACACTGTCCACGCATCAACAAAAAGCGAAATCGTTTCTGCCGGTCAAGACATTGTTAGTACCAAAGCATCGGTCAATCATCCTCAAGGTAGGACGTTATTTTGAACTTAATACGTTGAGCGTTCATTCGACAGTAAGGGAAGACACTATTAAACATGTTTTGGGAAACGCGTTATTAGGCTCAGTGATTTACAGTACTTTACCGCTTTCTCCTGAAGAGTGTTTGGCGTACAATTAAGAATTGTGAAATTTGTGCACTTAGTGTCAAGTGGACGCACAGCTGAGCGCACCTCCCCCACCCACCCACAGTTCATTGTCAACGCTCTACTATTCGAATTGTGTCACCTTGCATTTGCCGTTGTATGTCTCTGAGCTCCCTCCTACAGCGCTTGCAATACTGGTGGAAAAGGAAGGAGTCCGCCTCGTCAGTTTTAATACCTGACCCACCAACAGTAACTGATGGTGCGATACACCTTCAATATGTTTTAAGGAAAGAAAGACATCAGAAATAGCAATCGAAAGTGTTAAAGAATGGGATGCCAAAAGCCATGATAGGCAATGTGAGCACGCCCAAAGCCTGCGAATAGACCACTCTAGGGACTTTCTTGAAGAGGAATGCTACAGGGAGATTTTGGAACAAGTCATGAGTTGTTTGTCTGTTTGTCGTGCATCATCTCATCTATTATGATTTCAGTGCAATTGCATAATCATAGCGTCCATGGCCTGGAACCCCCCCCACCCCCCACCCCCCCCACCCCACACACACACACAAGAAAAAAGAAGAGGGCCAATGACTTTAGAAAATATGTTGCATCTGGTGCCTGTTGCGATCCCACTACATGTTGAACATTTCATTTCCCTCGCACCCAAAATATCAGTAGTGCCAAAGCATGCATGCAAAAGAACATCATTCCACGCTCCTCCTCAACAATCATTTGCCCACCGCACGGTGACACGACAAGCAGATGGCGGGTTTTTCACACATCAACACTGTTCCTGTCGTTTCGGTTCACCTTCTGTGGGTTCTCTGTCCACGGCAGCTATTGATGAGACAACCCAAAGGGCTGTCTCAGGGGTACTCAGGTGCCTTGAGGATGCTGCGGCCCTCATGTTGGCCGTAGATTGCAGAACACGATTGGGATTCTGTGTAATGACTGCCTGCGACGGACGCCATGGACATCACATGCATGATGTCCATGGCCGCAGTTAGGCTTTCTTTGGACGTCGCTCACCCGGCACAGATGCCTGCGCCCCTGTCCCAGCCGACACAATGGACAGCGCCCGTCATGGTAGTATTGGACCATGTTGCACTAGCGAAGGTCATGGTACAAGTACTTGGACTGCTTTGCACTATTGCACAATCCAGGGTTTCTGGGGAGTGTGTCTGACGATCCCATTCTCACCCCGGCCAAGTCGCAGGGGCAACGGAGTTGGACGCAGGGACGCAGCTGGTCCAGCAGAACGAGACCTTGGCGGGGTGGGGACCCTGACTCGTTGTCCAACTGTGCAGGATACACAGCGAGAACGTGCTTTGCGCTGCCGCAGGCTCCCTGCCCATCATGCGTCCCTTTCAACAGCTGCTCATGGTTTGTGCAGAGTACGCAGCTTACTGTACAGTGGTGCGCAGGGGCATTGCTCGGATTCTTCCAATCTGCTTGGCTCCGAGGAAGAAGACGGTTCTGGACTCGGGGAATGCAGCGCGACTGCAGAAAATCCAGCTATCTGCACTGCTCAGAGTAATTAGGCGATCTGCACGCTGTTAGCCTCCCGATGCCCTCTTTTTATTCATCAAACAAAATGCAATCATTACATGTAATCAAGGAACCAGTGCACCCCAAGGAGTGCACACACTTGCCACCGTCCATGCACATTATCCTGCCCCGAAAACGACGGTTCCCGAGTCAAAGGAACACACTCACAGACACACCACGAGGCAGAACAGTCATGCTCAAGGTGCCCAATTGAACCCAGATAATCAGAAAGGAGAGGGCTGCTGCTACCACGCTGTGTGTGTACTTCGCACCATCCAACCACAAACAAGCGCATTCGACACATCGAACGGATTCTCGATCATCCAGAGTGGTACGAAAAAAGAGCGAGCCATTTCGCATGCCCGGCCAACTGCTGCGCCGTCTGCATTCACGCCCATTCCATCCACAAAATGTGTGTAACTGTGTTAGCCTCCACTCAGGAGCTTGAACAATCCAGCAAACCGAGTTCAGAGATTCCGATTCATTGTTCATTGTTTCTACCGAAGATGGGTGGTCGTTCGCACGCATAAAGGTACGCCACGACACCAGTCCCCATCGACCCAAGGAAAAGTTCAACAGAATTTAGATATCCCAGTGAGATTGGCCCAAAAGAAAAAAGTTAGCGGAATTCAGACGTCCCAGTAATTTTCCAAATCTGATGTAGGCTTCTTCCCCTTGTCGTCATCTGTACACTCGTCCTCATGACGATCTTAGCAAACGCCAACGCAGTGAAGGCTCCCTCTAACGCACAGATGCTAGGGCATGACTGAACCCTCCAGACAGAGACAAGCCTTGCTGCCCTTGTTGGTTAAAACGCCGGGGCCCATCCCACTGGATGGGCGCCCGCACGGGAGGTGGTGGCAGGACTTGACTAATGGTTCATCTATCAACACTCGCTCCCTCACACTCGAAATAAGAATCTCGGTCAAAATCTGAGCCCTAGACTCTGCCCTCCCACTCGCCACCTCCCCCTCAAGCCGGCCACCACCCCCAAGCAACCAGAGCTATCAACATTCCGTCACTCTCATATCGTGTGGTCTCCCGCACGCAAAACCATCCCCCACTCACGACAAACCGGGTGGCAACACGCGCGATTCGCCATTAGAAAAAGCGCGCACATCACCGCCGTCCAGCGGCCAAGAAATCGCCGCTGCGGTCGCGAAAATGAATTCACTGCACCACGCTCCACTCCACGCCCAGCCCCGCCCACCGCCCGCCACCGGTGTACATCATGTCCTCGTAGCGCAGGTTGATCCAGGGGCAGCAATCCACGGCCATGTCCTCCGACTCCGTCAGGATCCCGGAGTCCATTCGCGCAGCGCACGCCTGCTCTTCCGTGCGGGCCTCCGGCTGATACTCCGTGCTCCACGACGCGCTGCTGTCCAGACGCCCGTCCCCCCCTCGCCCGTGCTGCGATTCCACAGACAGCGGGGAGGCTGCCCTTTCCAGCGCCAGCTCGCGGTGGATGTCCGGAACGGACCTCACCATCTCGAGCACCCCGGGCAGTTCCCTGGAGTCCAAGGATGCGTCGCGCCGCGCGGTGTTCCCCATGGACGAGTCCGACCTCCAGCGCCTGACCTGCAGCTCGGGCTGCCCGCCGTACGACTTTTCGACGGCTCTGCGCCGCGCCGGCCGCTGGCCGCCATCCTTGGGCCGCTTGAACAGCAGCCAGCCAACCCGCCCCTCCACGCCGATCGCGCTGTCCTCAACCGAAGGCGAAACCGCCTCATTTCCCCCCTCGTCCTTATCAACCTCGCCATCCTGATCGGAATCCAAACATCGGTCTCCGGATCCACTGCGAGAGGGCGGAGAAGGTGGAGAACGGAACCAAGGCAGGGAAGTCGAGTTCCGGTTGGCGCCGGAGGTCTTCATCAGCAGGTCGCGCCTCCTGCGCAGGTCCGCGTCGAATCCCTTCGCTGGGCCGTCGCCCACACGCCGCCAGGCCTCCCGCCTCGTGGACGTCAGGGACGCTATCATCGACTCCTCCCCGCCGTGCAGTGCCCCCGCGAAGGGCTTAACCCGGGCATTGAAGTCAGGGCTTTCGCTGGCGACCTCGGGGCAGTCGCCGCCGATGCCCAGCAGCTCCTCCCAGGTGATGGCAACGCCTCCCGACTCGCGAACCTCAGACGCGTCGCGCGCTATGCCGGCGCTGTGTGGGCCGCGGGACATCATGATGCTGCCCATGCCTCTGTGTTGTCGCGCTTGAAGAACTGGGGCCAGGGGGCTCTGGCGGGGCCGGGACCTTTTTCAGGGGCCGCCCTGGCGTCTGCGGTCGAGGCAGGGGGGCCGAATCTTGGATGGCAGGCGCTGCGGGCGACTATCAATATCCCGGGTGGCCCGTCGAAGGCGTGAAAGCCCGCTTCTGGCGCGTCAGAACGGCCTGATCTGGACTACTGTGCGCCCCGCGTTCCGCTGACTGGTCGGGTGGGTGTGGCACGGTCACCGACTCACACTTACCTTCACGCGCGGGTGCCTTGTGCCCGACAGAAAGAATGGATGCCCGTGCATCAGCGGATTCGATGGGCAGCCCCGTTCCTGGCTGGTGGCGTCCAAGGATTGGCCAGCTCACACTTCATCCAACACGCTAGCCTCCCAGGGCGCCTAGTGCGAGCGTGACACTCGGATGAGAAGTGGAGGGGCTGACGGTCGAAAGGGGTGGGCCACATCGCCCAAGTTGAGGTGGGACCGTGATATCTGGCCCCCTGCATGGGACAGCGATCCCAACAAGAAAGGGGGCTTTGACCATGCGGGTGATGGGTCCAACCTCACCGACCACAGCGCCTGGCTGCTTGATCCCGTGGATGGGCAGGCAAGCACACGATACGCCCACGATCCACCAACCTATCACGTGATCGTATTGAGGCCCAGGTTGGTTAACGAAGCCCTGGCTGTAGCGCCCAGGGTAAAGCCGTGGGACAGGCTGTGACTCGGGCGCTGGGATACGAGCCGCCCATTCACAGTCCACCCTACCTTTTGTGTAAAAAATGCCTGGAATATACCCAAATGCGCTTGCATGTATATGACGCCCGCGCGTGCCAGGAGATCTCAGAGTGGTTGTCGTGGACTCGTTCTTGTTACACCTTTTGATTCTAATTGGAGGTACGGGGGGCAGCTCTCGGTGTCGTGCAGCCAGAGCCGTACAGCCCGAGGCAGGTCGCTGAGAAAGGGCGACTTGGGCGCCAAATAATGACAGTGCTATCGATTCACAATTGCACGAAAGCCGTGGGGACTGGAGCGTGCTGATTCAAGCATCGGAATATTCGCAGCCCTGTAGCTTCGTAGAGTATTCGCAGCTTTGCGTCGCCTGATGGGGCCGCCACTCCACACGCAGCGCTGTGCCACGGAGGTCGTCTGCATGCACAGCCCCCGATGGTTGTGTTCGTACAGGTGGTGCAGAAATGGATATCTAGAACGGCACGGCTGGGGCAGCAGTTGGCATATTGCATTCAGTTCATCACTCCCCAAGAAGTTGCCGGGGCGCTGCGTTTGGAATGACAGAAACTATTAGTGATAGACTCCATGGGCTCACTTGCGGACTATAAGAGACCTGCCCAAAATGTGGGGCTCTCACATGAAGGCAAGAAATTCCTTCTCTGCAATAGGAAGTACAATGCGTGAACAGGCCTTACTAGAGGAAAAGTTTCCAATGAGCATGTAGTATGAGCATGTAGATGTTGCCCTTGGGGTGGGCACACAGGTGAAATGCAGCCCGCAGGACGGGGCTGCATCAGCCCTCGAGGGCATGTTTTAGTATGTTCCATAGGAATAGGAAAGCAGTGGACAAGCTAGAAGAATAGCCAGGAATAGGGTGGAATAGGGTCGAATGGCCTGTAGCATGTGTGTTCGCAATTCGAGACAGCGGCAATGTGACCAGCCCCAAGGGGCTCTTTACTGTTTTAATAGCATGTACTCCTATGAGCTTTTCAATGTACGTGTTGTCGATGTTTTTGTTCAACTTGTGTTAAAGTACATGCCCCTTAGTGATCGCCCCGAAGGACCCATAGATCACAGGTTGAACTTAATCTTTGCTCTATTAAAACTTGCGTTGCTTTGAGAGTTCGAGATCACCACATTGAACTGAACAGATAACCCATTGCTTAAATTGATGATCAATCATAATCAACATCGTCAAGAAATCAATCCTGATTGAGCAACATCACTTCACTTTCAAATGCTCAGTCCACATGCATCACCCTTTCAACCCAACATATCCAACCATTACAAATGACTTAAGATGTCCACACAACACTTGCTATTACTTTTCCGCCTCTTGCCAAATGCAATGTTGCCCTTTGCACCCCACCTTGCTTTGAATCTAAAGATCCATCGTTTAACCATTCAATTTTGATCCCTTCGATCCTCCTTATCCACTCTGGATCACTCCAGAATATTCACAAAATTCACTAGATGAATCTCCACCCTCGCCTGAACAAGTTTGCTCATGGGGCCACAGTCC